TCACCCAAAAAAGAGCACAATAAACATTCTTTTTCAGTGCACATGGAATATTCTCCAGAACATGTCATATGCTAGGTCACAAAGTAAGAATCAGTAAATGGAAAAAAAAATAGAAATAGTGCAAAACATCATCTTCTTAGATTACAATGCTTTGAAATTAGAAATGAACAAGAAAAACAAGGGAATAAATGACGTACATGAGAATGAAATAACGCTGAGTTAACACTGTTGAGTAACAAGAATTTTTTTAAATAATTAAAATATTTTCTTGAAACAAATGAGAATGAACACAGCATATCAAAATATCTGGGACACAGCAAAAGGAATACAAGAGGTCAGTTTGTACTGATAAATGCATGCAACAAAACCGCAAGTACAGACCTCCTTTCTGACTTATTGTTTCTTAATCTGCCCTAACTGTATGATAGAATTTTAACCTTGTGAACAGTACATGATAAAGAATAAAACAATTTACTTTTCTCTGACGAAAAAAAAAAACCCCACCCAAAAACCAAAAGTACAAATTTAACCCGGAATTTGCACCATTTAGAAGAGCAAGAAGCCTACAGACTCCAAAAGAAAGATTATAGTAATAAATGAAACAAAAACAATGAAATCAGCCTGACTAGATTCTTTTAAAATATTAATAAAATTGACAAGGCCCCCATCAACAAACGAATGGGTAGAGAAGCTGTGGCATATTCAGACAATGGAATACTACGCTGCGTTGAAAAACAAGGAACTCATGCAATAGTATTCAAAATGGGTGACCCTAGAGGACATTATGCTGAGTGAAAGATCTCAGTCACAAAAAGACAAATACTGCATAGTGCCACTGTTGTAGAATGGGACTGACATCATGGTTGGGGTAAGACTGAGTAAAACTGGATAGATTATGTATACTGCGTTGAAACAGATGAGGGAGAGAGCAGTTTAAAAGTGATATATGATAGGGTATTATCACAAGAGTCCAGAATTAAGGTTGCATAGTGGAGTGTAGTCGAGGCGGGGGGATTGTATACCAACAAAGGAATTTTTCTTTTACTTTTCAAAGAGAGGAGCGAACTGAGGGGGGACGGGTGGGCAGGGAGAAAAGTGCAACAATGAATGAATGGAAATCCAAAATCTTTTTAAATATTCATTAAAATGAATAAAATAAAAATTTAAGGCCCTGGAAAAATAAAAGAAAAGAAGATGCAAATAACATAAACAAGAAATTGAATGAATGATGTCACAACAGAACCAAATTAAGTAAAAAGGATAACAACAGTTATATGAAGAACCATATTACAAAAATTTTTATCACCTAGAGGAAATGGAAAAATTTTGAGATACATTTCTTACTTGAACTAATACAGAGTTAGAATATTTTAACAGAATAACAAAAGAAGACTTTAAACAAGTTATAAAACTATTTCCAATCCCATTCTCCCTAAAAATCGAGAATTAACAGGTGAATTCTGTCATCACCCTAAATCCTAAAACAGGTAAAGATGCTACTTTACAAGAAAATGATAAGAGTTGTGGAATAATATTGCTTTATCCATCTCTCCCTTTGCAAAGTAGTTTAACTCCTTTTAGCAGTAGTTTTACTTTGCAGAGTATTTTTCCAATAAACCTCTTTCTATCCTTGCATGTTGTTGCTGATTGCCTTCGAGTCAAGCACGACTCATAGTGACCCTATGAACAAAAGGCCTGAAGCCCCTCTACAACTATCAACATTTGTCAAAGTTCATAGTTTCTGGAGACATGTTATTTAGGAATTGGATGCCACTCCTGCTTCCAAACCTGTCATACTATATTATTGTTGTTATGTGCCATTGAGTCGGCTGCGATGTTTAGCGATCCTATGTACAGCAGCTCTGAACCCTTCCCTGTCCTGAGCCAGTGTCACTTAATCTGACACACCAACCCCCATTGCCCCAGTTACTGCATCAATCCATCTCATCTGGGGTCTTCCTCGCTTGTGCTGTCCTTCCACCCTTCCAAGCATGATGTCCTTCTCTAATGACCAGTATCTCCTGGTCACGTGCCCAAAGTAAGTGAGTCAGAGCTTCAAAATCCTAGCCTCCAAGGAGAGACTTGGTTTCACCCTCTCCAAGAGACCTATTTGTTTTCTTGGCAGTCCATGGTATGTTCAAGACTTCTCTAACACCACAACTCGAAGGCATCTATTCTTTTGTCATCCTTAGTCATTGTCCAACTCTCTGAAGCATAACAAGTAATTGAGAGTACCATGGCCTGGATTAGGCACACCTTTGTATCTAGACTTACATCGTTGCTCTTCAACACTCTGGAGAGGTCTGTGACAGCAGATTTAGGAGGAGAAAACAAAATTACAGTCAAGTGTCTCTCGTGAATGTAAATGTATAATTTCTCAACAAAGTCCTGACCAATGGCATCTAAGCTCATATTAAAGAAAAAAAATCGGACTTCATGATCAAGTGGCATTCACACCTGGTATGCAAGCATAGTTCAACATTAGAAAAACAATCCACCACATAAATAAAACAAAGTGTAACAACCACATTATAATCTCAGCTATTGCATAACAGGCCTTTTGACAAAATTCAACACCTTTCCTGATTAAAAAAAAATTCAACAAATAGGAATAGATGGGGAAAACCCTCAACATAATGAAAATCATATATACACAATCAATGGCCAACATTACTTGCAATGGAAAGAGATTGAAGGTATTCTTCTTTCAAAGAAGAACTAGAAAAAGAATAAACTTTACCACATTCTTTTTCAATGTTGTATTTGATGTCTGAGAGCAGTAAGGACAGAAAAATAAATATGAAAGGAAAATGTCACCCAAATTGACACAGAAAAAATAAACTGTTTGCAGTTGATATAATCCTATATCTAGAAAAATCTCAATGATAGCAAGAAAATTATTGGATTTAATAGATCAATTCAGTAATATGACACAGGTTACGAGGTAGACATACATCAGACAGATTCCTATACAGTAAGAGTTCTGTAATGGAAGACGACAATCTGTTTATATAGATGTAACGCGATCTTGATCCAGAACCCATTGTCATTCTTCAAAGAAATGGAACACACCAACTTTATATGGACAGGAAAGGACACTGAATAAAGAGATATGAAATATAAAATAGAAGGTTTTACACTTCCTGTTCTTAAAACCTACACAGCAAAGTAGTCAAAGCAGCAACAGATATATTGACCAATTGAATAGGTCTGAGGACTCCAAAATAATTATATCCACCCATGAACACCTAATTTTTGACAAAGAGATGAAATCCATTATATGGGGAAAGACAGTTTCGTTAACAAGTTTTGTTGGCAAGCCTGGAAATCTATTTGCGGAAAATTCAGATGGCTCAAGGACCTCATTGTAAAATATAAAACTATAAAAAGTCTATCAATGAAACAGTTGGAGCCATTTTAGGAGCTTTAAGCTATGGCATAGACTATGAAATATAACTGAAAATTCACAATAAGGAAAGGATAGTCAATTGAGACCTCCAAAATAAAATAAAATCTAGGGTATTCCTTAGAGGCAAGGATGACAAAATTTTGTCTCGCTCAATTTGGACATGTTGTTAGGAGGGACCAGTCCTTGGAAAAGAACATCATGCTGGTAAAGGTGGAGGGTGAAAGAGAAGACCCTCAGTAAGATGGATTGAGACAGTGTCTGTAACAATGGACTCAAGCATATCAGAGAAGGTAAGGATGGGGCAGGCAACATTCAGATCTAATTATTCATAGGATTGCTATGAACTCTATGGCAACTAACAATATTAACATTTAAATTCTTATGTACACCAAAGGATTTCTCCAAAGGTAGAAAAAGAGTACCTATTTACAGATCAAACTATTTGACAACGACATATCTGTTAAGGAAATCTGAAAATTTATAGGAAGTGCCAACACCTCAATAAATGAATCAAATTACAAAATGAACAGAGGACATGAAAAGACACTTTAAAAATGCTCATTAACTATTCTCTCTGGTAGTATTTCATTTTGATGTATATGGGGTTACTATGGTTTGATATGTGTGTGTGAATATATGTGTCTATGCATAATTAATTTGAAAAATTTTATCTGCTGTCAGTATTCACTGGACTATAAGGTACTTCTTTTGTTTTCTACTAAAACACATTGCATTGATTTTAGAATTTCACTATCACATGTTACCTATTTGCTTGGATAGTTCTACTTTGTCTTTATGAATCTCCTGTTATTATGCTGGAATCTCTTACTGGTTCAAGCAGTTAAAGTGCTCATCACAAAACAGAAAAGTTGGACCTTTAAGACCATCTGGGAGCTTCTTGAAAAAAGACCTGGCAATCTACTTCTGAAAAATCAACCACTGAAAACCCTAGGCAGCCTACTACTACTCTAATAGAAAGTGATGTGCATTGAACTTTACAACAACTGAAGGAAAGTGAAGTTATTGAGTTTTCATATCTTCATTAGAATAGGACAAATGTGCATAACTTAGTAGTAATTTGTGCTTAAAGATTAACTGTTGACACTCAGGAACAATTTGTTAAGTTATTTTTCAAATAATTATTCAGGAGTGGGCACAGTTAAAGCAACTTTGGTTACCTGGTGGGTAAGGAGTTGTGCGCCAACCCAAAGACATGCAGTTTGAATTCTCACCTGTTCCTTGGAAGAAAGATGGGCAATCTTTGCCCTTGTGATTTGCAGCCTGTGAAAAGCTGATGGAGGGTCGGCTATGAGTCTGTTCTCTCTCACGGTCAATGTTTTTAAGTGAGGCACAGTGAGGAAAGTATTAATTTCTACTACTGCAAAAGAAATAACTTTTCAGCATCAGTATTTTTACTCTATATTTAGACTAAGTGTTATAGATGCATGATTGCACCTTTTATTCTTTTATGTGTTTTTAATGAAACATTGAAAATTATATGTTTAATTTTTTTCTTCATGTAAGACTATGGATATCATTAAATAATGTCTTTTGTGCCTATGTAAATTTCTCCTTAAACATTTTTTATAAGATGGTGGAGTTACCTTAGGGATGGTACTTTTGTGTGAAGCTGCTACCTCTGGCATGGATATTGGAAAGCGAAAGAGTAAGTACATCCTTTTCCAAATGTAACAATTCTGCCTATCTTTTTTAACATGGTCATTATAGGACTGTATTTCCTTTTTTTAATATGAGTGAAGTTTGCAAATGATAATTGGCTTTATATTTAGTTATTTATAGACATTTTATAATATCAATTACAATTGATTATTATAATTCACTAATTACAATGTTTCATGAACTCCTTATTGTATATAGACTTTCACATCAACCAATTTATCTATTAATTTTCACTCCCTTCTTATCACTGGTAAGCATCCAAGACTGATTCTATATGTGTGTAAACCTTTCTTTAGCTTTTTTGAATGGTATTCTGATACTGTAATTGTCCTCTTTTCACTGACTTAAACTGCTCAGGATAATTTCCTCCAGATTCGTCCATGTTGAGCACTATTTCATGATGTCTTTATCACTTTTTGGTGAGACATAATATGCCATTGTATGAATATACTATACTTTCTTTTGCTAATTCTGCCTTTAATATTGAAAATAGAATGTCCTTTCTGTTTACTTCCTTATATATAGGATAATACTGTTATTTTCTTTAATATTACAATAATAATATATTATTCTAAAATACATAAAAAAGGCCAGGAATATGAAGCATTTTAGAGGAAGGATTCACCCATTACTCTTCTTTTTTTCTCTTGTTGTGTACCGTCGAAGGATTCGAATGGCGCAGGAGGAGATTGCCCCTCCTTCTCCAGCAAAGCATCTGGTGGATTCGACCCACACACCTTTGGGATTGCAGTGCAGCTTCCGTGGCACTAGGCCACCAGAGCTCTCTTCACCCATTACTCTTGTTGTTGTTACTATTGTTTTGTTCCATCAAGTCACTTGCAACTTATAGTGACCCTATGTATAACATCCCTAAACCCTGCTCTACCCTGTGGCAATCTTATTGTCCCTGACACACCTAGTCACTGAATCAATACATCTTCCTCTCTTGCGCTGTCCCTCCTCCTCCCAAGCATGATGTCTCTTTCCAAGAACTGGTCCCTCCTTGCAACATGTCCAAAGTATGTCATACGAAGCTTCAGAAACCTTGCCTGCAAGGAGCACCCTGATCTCACCCTCTCTAGGACAAACCTGTTTGTTCTCCTAGCCGTGCATGATATTTTCAATAACCTTCTCCAGCACCATAACTCAAAGGTGTCAATTCTCCTTCTATCATCCCTGGTCATTGTCCAGCTTTCTGATGCATAGCAAGTAATTGCAAAGACCATGGCCTGAATCAGGTGTACCTTAGCCTCCAAACTGACATCGTTGTTCTTCAGTAGTTTGGAGAGGTTCCTGACAGCAGACTTTCCCAATGCAATTTGTCTTTTAATTTCCTAGTTGCGGGTACCAAGAGTGTAGATTTTAGAGCCCAGAAAAATAAAGCTGTCAACAATCTCATTCTCTTCATTGTCTACCATGATGCTGCCAGTCAACCAGTAGTGAGAATCTTTGTTTTCTTGATGTTGAGCTTCAATCCATATTGAAAGCTGTAGTTCTTGATATCCTGCAGCAAACACTTCAGATCCTCCTCAGTTTCAGTAAGCAGGGTTGTGTCATCTGCATAATGCAGATTCCACTCCTGATACCACACTTCTCCTCATACAGCCCAGCCTTGCAGACATAGATTAAAAAGGTATGGAGATAGGACACATCCCTGGCATACATCCTTCTCAATTCAAGCATTATCAAGTGTTGTGGGATTCTCATTCTTCTCAGAGTTAGCCACAGTTTATTGTGATTCACATAGTCAAATGCCTTTGCATAGTCAATGGAACACAGATAGACATTCTCTACCACAAAACCCCCTAATTTTAATATTCAATTTCCTTCCATTTTTTAAAACCATTTTAGTTTTTTCTCTTTTTATTTATTAATTTCAATGAAAATTTATAGAGACTTTGGATTTCCATTCATTCATTGTTGCACTTTTATCCCTGCCAAACCCTACCCCAAGACACTACCCTCTTGGAAAAGTAAAAGAAAATTTCTTTCATTGTTTTACAATCCCTCCCCCCACGTCCACTCCACTATGCAGCCTTCACTCTGCACTTCCGTCATGAGAAAAATACCTAATTACATATCCCTTTTAAACCATTTTCTCCCTGATTTGTTTCATGCTGTACACATTATTGAACCCATCTTTCTCAGTCTCCCCCCAACCCAAATGTCAGTCCTGTTTTACAACAGTGGCACCATGCAGTATTTTTCCTTTTGTGACTGAGATATTTCACTCAGCATAATGTCCTCCATGGTCGCCCATTTTGAATAATATTGCATGAGTTCCTTGTTTTTCAATGCAACATAGTATTCCATTGGGTGAATATACACAGCTTCTCTATCCATTCATTTGTTGATGGGCACTTAGGTTCTTTTCAACTCCTTGCTATTGTGAACAAAGCTGCAATAAACATGGGGGTGCATATATCTGCTTGGGTGTCAGTAATGGTTTCTTTAGGGTACATTCCTAATGGGGTCCTGCCCCATTATATCGAGCAGTTTTACCGAGAGAAGGGACGAGGATTAAATGAAGACGCAGAGAGGCTACGGGCTGATGGCGGATGTTGTTGTTGTTGTTATGTACCGTCGAGTCGCCTGTGACTCATAGCGACCCTATGTCAACATCCCTAAACTCCGCTCTGTCCTGTGCCAATCGCACTGTCTCCGACACTCCCATCCCAACTATCCCAGTCACTGAATCAATCCACCTCATAGAGGGCCTTCCTGTCCTCCGCCGTCCCTCCACCCTCCCAAGCATGATGTCCCTCTCTAAGGACCGGTCTCTCCTCAAAACATGTACAAAGTGTTAGAGCCTCAGAATCCTTGCCTCCAAGGAGCCACCCGGTTTAA